CTGTGGAAAAAAGGGATATCTGCAGGGAACAATCTTTGTGGTAGAATGAGAAGCTGCTGTTCCTTAAAGTTGAGAGCTACTTCTTGATACCCCCTGGGAGGCTCACCGAAGAATTGTACCAGGAACATCCAACCAGGAGGAGAACCTGGGGCAGATCCAACATGGTGCGGGTTCTGTATCCTCCCAACTGATCAGGGTATATTCTGAAGTACCCCAGGAAGAGATGGATAATATGAATGGGCAATGGGAAGTCTGGACTGACCTGCTAAGCTTGCTCAGCCTACAATCCATCAGATAATGGATGCTATCTATTTTATTCTATAATATGGTGCCATCAAATTCATCAACACTTTACAGAACACATAGACCATTCTAATCAGTCCCCACCCATAGGCAACTTTATCTAAAATCCTTCCCACAGTTACTCACATACATTTTTGCACCAGTTTGCCCGCCATCTGATTAACCTAGCAGAATACCATGCAATCAGTGATAGGTATGGGACCCAGGATCTCAGCACTGCAAGGCAACAGTTACTAGCAGCATAGCTTGCTAAGACACTCTATCCCGGGCAATATTATACTGCTTCTGAGGTCTTCGCCACTTCACAAATCCACGGGAACAATTATGCTTTATGAAAAGCAACCAGCTAAGTATAGTCATGTACAGAAGCTTATGGTATATGAAGCACAGACCCCAAACTGGTTGCTATGGTTTATTGCAAGCCAGGAGCTCTTGCCCCAGTGGAGTCAAATTGAGTTCATATGGCCAGCAATAGTTCTGAAACAAAACGGGCCTGGACGGGCTCACAATTAAATGTAGGAAGACACAGTAAACTACTTCATAGCAAAAGTGCCAGACACAGCTGTACCGGATCCCTTGGTGACTTTTACTGTAAATACGCACAGGTGCATACACATTGCCATCCAGAAAACCCAGCCATGGGCCGGCCTCACTTGTGGGAACGCTCCGACAATCACTGTGTTTGACAGCGCAACGTCAGGTCAGATATGTGTACAAAGATCCAAAGGATCAAGGGTGTGAACAGATTTGTGGATATAATAGGGTCTCCAGAGGCTGCAGCTTGGGCAGGGGGTACAGTGAAATTTAGATACAAGCACTTATCCCCTGACAGCCGTCCTGGCATTAGGTTACAGGTCCGTGGGAAGGGGGGCCGGGGTAAAGACACATCTATAAAACAAGGCACAGTACTAATAGTGCAATAGTAAGCCCATAAAAGGATGAATATTTACAGCTAACAAAAGTGCTGGATATACAGGACATATGGCTATAAAATGGGTATAGATGTAGAGCGAGGCAACAGGATCACTTGTTGGGTAAGGGGAAAGGGGAAGGGGGTGAAATACCACATGGGTTCACCAAGACACTTGCCAGAAATGGTGGAGACCACCACAGTGCAGAAGTTATATCGAGGGGCTTATAAAGTCACATCATCGTTAAATCCCAAGCACCCACTCAGCTGAGATGTGGGCTGCTGGGATTCTGGGAAGAGTGCCTTCCGTAGTTTTATTCCACATGAGCAGATTACCCCAGGGCTCTGGCAGCTTGTGCAGTAAACCTGCCAGTGTTCCTACAGCAGCTGTTTGGCGCATTCCTGTTCCATTCCTCATCCTAACATCCTGGCAGCTGACGAGCGTTCCCACCAGGTCTCGGTGACCACCCCACTGCAGCGTCCTTGCTCGGATGGAGCACAGAGAGTACAAACTAACAGAATGAATGGCAGGGCACCTGAGCCTCATAAATATTCACAGATGATCAGAGTTCAGATAATGTTTAAAACTGAACTCCAGGTGGACATACAAGACATGAAATAATACAGCTCTCTATTCATTCATGTATTTTTTTACATACAAGCAGTGCAAGTACCTGAATATGACCTGCTACTGCAGAGCTCAGAGTGGGAGGAAAAGAAACAGCACAAAGAGCCAATCAGTTCACGTGCTGACACAGACCATGCTAATAGGAGGAGAGAGAAGTGCTGCTTATAATTTCATTGTCATGTCACAGACTGGGGACATGTCCATGACAGCTTGGGCTCAGAGGAAGTTGGTAGGATGATGCTGGCCATCATTCAACCAAGAAAACTGAGGATATCTAGTGGCAGAAAAAGAGTACTGCGGTGGGCAGCGCTGATTGAAGGAGACTATTGCAGCAGAAAAGTTTCTTTGAATTTTATCTTTTATTGGGCTATTATTTTCTTTCATCCGTGACTGGACTTCTGCTCCATGTTTTCCATCTTCTTCATAGACATGTATTCCTAGTATCCCGTGTTCGCATACACAGATCCATGAAACCGTTTCATAAAATGAGCACATATGTGTGGCGGCAACAAATTGAACACCTCACACACGTCACGTGCAGCAAATAAATGTTCTGTAACTTAACTATGCACTTTCTGTTTTCCATTCAGGTCTGGTTCAGTAACAGAAGAGCACGGTGGCGTAAACAGGCAGGAGCCAATCAGCTTGCGGCATTTAACCACCTGTTGCCAGGAGGCTTTCCTCCCACAGGGATGCCAACACTGCCACCCTATCAGCTGCCAGATACATCGTACCAAACAGCCGGCCTCTCTCAAGGTCAGAACGCCTCTCTGTGTCATTTGTTTATAGATATCTCATGTGCACTGGCGGGAACCTCATTACGTAAGCAAACACACATGCGGGTGCAAGTCAACAACCTAGACATAGAATTGGCCTGTGTGAGCAAGAACACCTTGTGCTGCTCCTATCTCAGGGAAGAATTGCACCTCGCCCGATTGGCTGCATGAGGTGGCGATCTCTTTATGTTTGTTTTCCTATCCCGAGACCAGAAGATGTTTGCTGTTGATTATATTATGCAACGGAATTGTAGCTTTAGGTTTACATACAATAAATGGTCAAACGTTTGTGGACGACTGACAATCACATCTATACGAGCTTAGAGATCTCATTCCACAACCATTGGCCATTAATATGAAGTTTAACCTCCCACCCCCTCATGGCCATTAATATGGAGTTGAACCCCCCAGCCCCTCATGTCCATTAATATGGAGTTGAACCCCCCAGCCCCTCATGG